TTTATTTATTTTTTTATTTATTTCAGAGAGGGAAAGGGAGATAGAAACATCATGATGAGAGAGAATCATTGATAGGCTGCCTCCTGCACGCCCCCTACTGGGGATGGAACCCACAACACCAGAGAAACATCAACTGGCTGCCTGACTGGGAATTGAACTGCAACCTGGTTCATAGGTCAATGTTGAACCACTGAGCCACAACAGCTGGGCTAAACCATTTTTTATTTTTTTAAAATATATTTTATTGATTTTTTACAGAGGAAGAGAGAGGGATAGAGAGTTAGAAACATCGATGAAAGAGAAACATCGATCAGCTGCCTCCTGAACACTCCCTACCGGGTATGTGCCCGCAACCAAGGTACATGCCCTTGACCAGAATCGAACATGGGACCCTTGAGTCCGCAGGCCGACGCTCTATCCACTGAGCCAAACCATTTTTTTAAAATGTAAAACAATGCCACTGTTTTCAGTAAATTGTTTTTCTGTTTTGGGAAATACACTTTTTAAGATAAAACGTAGACATGTAAATAATTTATCTTTTAAAAATGGTATCAAGTTTTCCAAAAATTGTTGTAATTTTTGGTATGAAAAATACTGTAATTTCTAAGGGTGTACAGAAATCACTACACCCAGAAGTTTGAAAACCATTGGTGTAGAGTATTATAGTTTATGAATGAACCATAGTTATTCATACATTCTTCTGTCATTGAATTTTATATGCTTCCTCCTTTTTTACCATCATAATCAGTCCTGCTCTGTATGTCCCTGTATGTTTACCAGCATGCACATATAACAGAGTTTGTCCAGGTAGGGAATATACCCAGACGCAGAATTACTGGATAAAAGGGCACGTGCAACTTCAATTTTTTTTTTACATCAAGTAGACGTGAAAATACAGACTCCAGAAATACTAAAAAAGTGGAATTAGTGGGACTCAGAGTGACAGGCAACTCCATGTGTAAGGTACAAAATGCAGCCAGAGAGGTAGGAGCAGTATCTGAGAACTCTTGACTGAGTGTAATCTGAGGAAAGAGGTGCAGCAGACCCTGCCTAACTGGCCTGCATGACTTTTCTCACACCTGGCTTCAGTCCACTTCCATCATCTGAGGCCTGGACAGCATGGAGCCACCATCTGAGTCCCAGCAGTCTTCCTGTTTCACTAAGTGATTATGCACATCAGGGGTTCCACAGAGGCCTGACTGGGAAGGCAGAGGGGAGGGCCGGGGCTATAGTGCAGTATGCCTTTCAGATGGACAGACAGCCCACTTCCTGTCAGGTACGCAGTGCGACCCACTGTGCCTCCCGTCCCATAGCATCCGTCCACCCCTGTGAGGGGGGAGAAGCAATGTCCACTTTGACCCCCGAAGCCTGAAATACTAAAAAAGTGGAATTAGTGGGACTCAGAGTGACAGGCAACTCCATGTGTAAGGTACAAAATGCAGCCAGAGAGGTAGGAGCAGTATCTGAGAACTCTTGACTGAGTGTAATCTGAGGAAAGAGGTGCAGCAGACCCTGCCTAACTGGCCTGCATGACTTTTCTCACACCTGGCTTCAGTCCACTTCCATCATCTGAGGCCTGGACAGCATGGAGCCACCATCTGAGTCCCAGCAGTCTTCCTGTTTCACTAAGTGATTATGCACATCAGGGGTTCCACAGAGGCCTGACTGGGAAGGGAGAGGGGAGGGCCGTGGCTATAGTGCAGTATGCCTTTCAGATGGACAGACAGCCCACTTCCTGTCAGGTACGCAGTGCGACCCACTGTGCCTCCCGTCCCATAGCATCCGTCCACCCCTGTGAGGGGGGAGAAGCAATGTCCTTCCATCAGGGGTTAAAGTTTCCTGAAGTCTGTAGTGGGGTTTCCTTCATCTTTGTATACCCAGCAGAGGGCTCATCACAGAGTACACACTCAAATGGATGAATGAAGGAATGGATTAGGGATTTTTAAATATTCCAGGGCCACTTAACTATACAAACTGGAGAGAAGCTTAGGTTAAAATTCAGTTTTTTAAAGCATTAGTAATGCTGAATTACGGCATATATTTAACACCAAGACATTTTCATAAGTTTGTCTTTTTCTCTTTTCTTGTGCCAAATGTCTATTTAATAGCCTTGGCCTGGTATATCAAGCAAGATGCAATCAATCTGAACTACGTAGAAGTGAGCTTTCTCTAAAACGCAACAAACCTTTTGTCAGGTACGCAGTGCGACCCACTGTGCCTCCCGTCCCATAGCATCCGTCCACCCCTGTGAGGGGGGAGAAGCAATGTCCTTCCATCAGGGGTTAAAGTTTCCTGAAGTCTGTAGTGGGGTTTCCTTCATCTTTGTATACCCAGCAGAGGGCTCATCACAGAGTACACACTCAAATGGATGAATGAAGGAATGGATTAGGGATTTTTAAATATTCCAGGGCCACTTAACTATACAAACTGGAGAGCTTAGGTTAAAATTCAGTTTTTTAAAACATTAGTAATGCTGAATTACGGCATATATTTAACACCAAGACATTTTCATAAGTTTATCTTTTTTCTTGTGCCAAATGTCTATTTAATAGCCTTGGCCTGGTATATCAAGCAAGATGCAATCAATCTGAACTACGTAGAAGTGAGCTTTCTCTAAAACGCATACAAACCTTTATTGTTGAAACAAGTGCTAATACAGGGTAGGGAACGTCCGGCCTGCGAAGTCATTTGGTCTGTCCCTGCCAAGGCATTAGGGGTGAACTAATTAAATGTCTGACCAAATACAGCGGGCTAATTTTTTTAAAAAGCCCCCTACCCTAGGCCTTTACCACATTATAGTTTGTGTCCATGGGAGGATGATTCGGCGGGAATCCGTTAGTACTGTGTGAACGTGAGAGCTAAAGGCCGGCTCTGAGCTCCTTACCTGGCGGCAGGGTCCGCTGGTCAACGTCACTCGTTGGGTTAAAATGTCAGACTGCCGCCGCCGCGCTCGGGAAGCGGGCCTGGCGGGCGCCCCAACCTCGATCGGGGCTCTTCCGCATTCTTCAACTTCCGCTTCGGAACCTGTTTGGGAGGAGCCAGGCCCCAAGGCCTGCAGGCCGGCAAAGGCCGGAAGCGCGTCAGCGTTCAACTTCCGAAGACCCCGCCTCTGGAGGGGTTCCCGGACATTGGGCTCCCAGCGTGCAACGCGCTAGGAGGCGGGGCGGGGCGGTGTGGCGAGACAGCCCGGAAGGCGGAAGTGCTGGGCTTCCGGTCGTCTGGAGCGTGTGGGCTGTGAGCGGTGAACCTGAGGTATGTGGCGCGTGGGACTTTGGGCTCCGTTCTGCGTCTCGTAGAGAAGCCCGCCTGCAGTCTCGTCCATCACTGGGCAGGCTGAGGTGCAGGCCGCTCCGGGGGCAGGGGCCTCTCGTCTCGGCGGCCCTCGGGCATCGGTGTTCCGGGCGAACTGGAGTCCGTCGTTCAGTCTGGCTCGGGTTAACCTCGGCCCTCAAGACTGTTGGACGAAATCCTTCCGTCTCCACTGCATACGGGTTTGGGGTTGTTATTCACAAGGGAAAAGCCTGAGTTTGTGATTGCTGGCGTCCAAAGAAATGGTACCCCACTAGTCATTATTAATTCAGCAAGTCTATTTAACCTTTGATATGTGCAGAGAGTTATGTATCGGGGGACCCAACGGTGAAAAAGACCGATGTAGTCCCTGCCCAGTGGAGCTCACAGTCCATCGGGAGTGATAGAAAATAAACTCGGTTTCAGACTGTAGCACATCTTAAAAAGGACGGGAAGGATCTGTCGTAGGAGATACTAGGAGGGAAGCTAACGGGCAGAGAAGCCCTTTCTCAGGCAGTGAAGTGAGGAGCAAGCCTTGAGAAGATGGGTTCTCAGGCACAGGAGAGCAGATGGAAAGGTCCTGATGTGGACATCGTTTGGGCTTTTTCCCACCCAAGCCGTGTCATAACGATTTATATAACTGCTTTATGGATGTGTAATTAGCACAATAGACTTCATATGTTTAAAGTGTGTAATATATATAAACTTGGATAGGTGTATGCAAATATAAATCCAGCACAATTAAGAGGATGTTATAAATCACTCTCAAAACTATCCTTAAAAGCTCTTTATAATCCTTTCCTTCCCCCCTCTTGTCACATCCCCATTGTCCTTGCATTGTCACCAGTTGGACTTTTTTCAGATGCAATTGGGGGTGAAATGGAACAAGAGGAGGAGAGAGTGGAAGGAAGCAGGAGTCAGGTCACAAATAACCTTGTAGATCTTGAAGATAGGAGGTGGAAAGTCATTAAGGAAAGGCGGTCATGTGCTCTAAGTTGTGTGTTTTTGTTTTGTTTGTTTTTTAATTTTATTTTTAGTTGGTTTTAGAGAGGAAGGGGTGGGAGAGAGAAACATCAGTGTGAGAGCGAAACTTAGATCAGTTGCCTCCTGCACACACCCCAACAAGGGATCAAATCCAAAACCTGGATATGTGCCCTCACTGGCACTCGAACCCACCACCTTTTGGTATGTGGGATGGTGCTCCAGCTATTTGAGCCACACTGGCCAGGGCTGCCCTAAGTTTTTAGAAGCTCACTAACCACCTTGTGGAGGATTTAGGACTGGGAATAAGGGATGGAGAGAAAGCAGCAGTGGAATTGGACAACTTTAATATGGCTAGATTGACTTGAAGGGGTGGGTGATGACGACTTGGGTGGGTGTCCTGTAGGATTGAGTGAAGTCAAAATTCAGTTAAAAGAGATATTTATAAAAGCATTTTGTGATTTCTAAGCCATTGCCTAAATGTAAGGTAATGATGCTCTTTGCATTTTGGGGGAAATTAAATTTTTGCATCTTGTATGGAAACTCCAGGAATTTTCAGAATTGGCTTGACTTATAGCTAGTGAGTGACCAAGGGGAATTTGATTTGGTGTTCTTAACTATTTAATGGCTGCACATGGCCATGTTGATCCACATAGAAGTTGCACATTAAGCCAATATAAATCACGAACAGAGTAAAGAGCTTTACCTTCCGTTTGTTTATGTTTTGTAGAGATACCCTTTGATCTGGTTTTCCCAGCATTTGCCCCTTTTTGATGGTACATATTTACTTTTTAATATGTATCTTTGTTCACTTCCAGATAAAATATGGCTAAAAGCTTACGGAGTAAGTGGAAAAGGAAGATGCGTGCTGAAAAGAGAAAAAAGAATGCCCCAAAGGAGCTTAGCAGACTTAAAAGTATTCTTAAAGTAGATACTGATGTTTTAATGAAAGATGTTCATGAGGTAGCAACTGTGGTGGTTCCCAAACATTCTGAAGTGAAAACCCAGTGTGTGGTGAAAGATGACAAAGGTGAGTTAAAAAAAAAAATTCTGTCAGTTTCCTTTTATGACTTTTTTTCTTTTTTCCTATCTCCACACTTGCGTCCCTACAAACCTCCTGCCATGCCCACGTTATTCTTTGAAGGCTTATGGTGCTGCTAGAGATTCTGTGCTAAACTATTTTATAGCCAGTTCATGTGAATAGGCACCTTTGGGGATATGCAGAGTGGGCCTTTGATGTTTATGCAATAGCCCAAATGTCTCAGAAATAGACAGTGCTACAGGAGTAGGCAAACCTAGACATCCTCATTGGAAGGCACACAATTCATCAGGGACGAGGCAGGACAAAAGGAGATCTTCAGTTTACCCTTTGCAAGAACTAGTTCCCATTTTGAGAGTCTTCTGCACTTACATTATCCTGAAAATTCATAAAGTTTCCCTGTATTTGATTTTGACAGATTCTAGAGACCTCTTTGTCTTAATCATAGTCTAAAATTGGAGGCTGTATATTATAGTTTCAATACAGAGAAAGACTCATTGGTTTTCACATGGTTAATACACTACTTTGACAACAAATTAAATTAAGTACTCACAATACTTAGGGTCTTAAAATAGAAGTGTATTTATGGGGTGTACAGTGATCAAGGAAAAGAGCAGCATTCCTTAACTTTCGAATCCTAGAAATTTCCTTTCCCACTCATCACAGTATCTCCCCATTTAGTAATCTACCTGTTTTCAATATGGTTCCTCATCTCTGCTTTCAAGTTCATGTTTCCCCTTCCACTCCTTCATCTGCCCACTTAACTTCTTAAGCCACAAACCTCACAGTTACCCTTTTTTCTTCTTTCCTGTTTCTCCCACATCTAAACAATTAGCACATCTTGAGTATCTTCAAAATACAACGGGAATCTATTCATTTTTCTCATTTATGCTTTCACTTTAAATGATCACTATCTCTTGACTGAAAATTATGATAGTAGCCTTTTCTCTCTTCAGCTCTTTTTCCCTTCTGATTTATTTCAGCCTATCAATCGGTGTGATCTTTTTATAAAATAAATCAAGTTTTATTTTCATGCTTAAAACACCACATTGTCTTTTCATGTGCTTATCAGAGTCCACCATGTCTTACTAAGTCTGATTCTGGTAGGCAGAGGTACAGAACCTCTCTTTAAAAAACTGCTTACCACAGGCTGAAATTTGCTATGTTATTCTCCTCTCAAAAGAACGTTGTAAACTCCATGAGAGCAGGGAGGTTATTTGGACCACTATGTCCCTAGAATCTAGAATAGCACCTAAAATAATCATCCATCACCTAGTTATTCCAGGTACTGTGGAAATAATGAATATTAAAGAAAAGGCCTCTATTCTAGTAGACTTGCCATTGTTTTAGAGAAGAGAGAAAGTAAACCAGATAAGTGAATGTCAGGTGGTAGAAAACATGGGAGACCTTGTATACCTTGGTCAATTCCCAGGGAGGGCCATTCTGGGCATGTCCTTCACAATAAGTAAGGTTGGTGGTAGGTGTACCACAGCATGGTTGCATGAGCTTCCTGCCAAGTCTCCTGTTAGTAGAGCTGGATTTCTTCATGTGATTTGGCTAGAAAAGTGTGGTAGCCCCAAGATATATCCAGTCATTCTCTGTTTTCTCTCCATCTCTGTCATCTAAATCCTGCTGCTTACTGCTCCTCCTCCTCTTCCTAGTTCACAGCATTAGAAGTGGCCATTCATTCCTAATCAGCTCATTTACTTCTGAGGCCCGTCCATTAGAAGTGTGGGTACACTTCTTAATGGCTCAGCTGTCTTATTTAGCTCAAGAAGGCACTTAATTTAAGAAATGTTCTTGTAACTCACTCAGAACCATATACTTACCCCTAACGCAGTAACTCAAATTCATACATCCTTAATGGTTCCTATTTAACCTTTATTATTCTAAAGGACATTCATGACAACATTCTTTAGAAAGTTTTTTAGAGACTAAAAAGGTGATGTCTCTTTGCTCACAAATACTTGTCTTTCACAGTTGTAGGAACACTTGACAGCATGTGTGTGTCTCCACTGAAAGTGTTGTTAGGGGTTTTCAGAGTTAGTCAAATGAGGGATTTGTTTTTTCTTTTGTAGTTTCAGACCACTTTCACTATTGATGTTCTCACTGCATTAATATGCTCTTTTACAGGGTTGATTTTCCATTCGTGAGTATTAATAGCGTTTCCATTTTTTTATTCAGATGACATGAAAATGGAGACTGACATTAAGAGAAACAAAAAGACTCTTCTAGACCAGCATGGACAGTACCCCATATGGATGAACCAGAGGCAGAGAAAAAGGCTGAAGGCAAAGCGAGAAAAAGGAAAGGGGAAAAGCAAAGCAAAAGCAGCGAAGGCGGCTAAGGGTTTGGCCTGGTAGACTTTTAAAAACCTGAAAAGTGCCACGTGGGACAGACCTTTGATTAAAATGGATACACCTATTTCAGCTTCTGTCAAAGGAAAACCATTTTTTAACTGGGCCTTTTTCTTCACTCAAACCCAACATAACACCTCAAATTTGTTTTAGGAATTTGAATAAAATATTTCCTTTGATGAATGAAAGCTATACTTATATTTTAATTGCATGCTATCTGATATACAAGGATTACATTTCAGACATCAAAATTCTATCGAATATTAATGTGGTTGTGGATTTTGGTATTAGTAAAGATAAGTGATACTATACTAACTCAGATTAAAGAAGACTAATTAATGTTATTTTAAAATGTAATGTCAGTGGATCTTATCAGCAGTACTTGTTTGGAGTTTGGAGTTTGTATACTTCATAATAGAAAGGTATTTTGTTTAGATCGTGAATATCTTTTCTTTCAGGTATCCTTAAGGTATTCTGGTAGTGGAGAAGTCCAGATTCTTCTTTTAAATTTTTAGATAGACTATTAACATGTACTAGTTAGTATGATCCATCTTTTAAGGAGATTAGAATATCCTAGGAACTAGCGTAATGTTTATCAGTTTTTATAGTATGTAGCCTAATATAATGCAACATTTCCAAGAGTATATTTCTCAGAATCTATTTTTCCAGATGTGTAGTGAAAAAATACATTTTGTAGTCTTATCAGTTTGGGAAGTGCTACGTGCTTGAAGATACACAGAAAGTATTTGCTCAGTATTATTTTATAGAGATCTAGCAATAAAGAAACTTGTTTAGCTTTGACTTGTTAAAACTAGTTTTCAGAAGAATAGAATATACTGTTGGAAATGTTTGTATAATGAGATGGTTTTTATTGGCTCTGTCTTGCTACAGTTTACTAATTTAACTCTTATTTAAATTTACTCTTATTTTTTATTTTTAGTTTTGTTAATCCTCACCCCAGGATATTTTTTCTATTGATTTTTAGAGAGAGTGGAAGGGAGGGAGGGGGAGAGAGAAAGAAACATTGATGTGAGAGACACTTCCATTGGTTGCCTCCCACACGGGGATTGACCTGCAACCTAGGTACGTGCCCTTGACTGGAATCGAACCCATAACCCTTTGGTGCACAGGCCCATGCTCTAACCACTGACCAACACTGGCCAGGGCTAAGTTTATTTTTAGTTAAGCCATTTAAACTTAGCATTCCCCAAGTGCTGGACAGTCAGGGTGCATGTGGGAGGCAACCAGTTAATGTGTTTCTCACATCAATGTTTCTCTCTCTCTCTCTCTCTCTCTCTCTCTCTCTCTCCCCCCCACCCCCCACCTCCTTTCCACACTCTTTGTAAAGCAATAGAAAAAATATCCTCAGGTGAAGTTAACAAAAAATAAACAGCGTTCCCTCTGAAATTTCACTGTAAAAATATTAACCATCACTGTATATTCACTGGAACAACAAATATTTGAGTGCCTACTGTGTGCCAGGGTCTTTTACAGGTGCTAGGGGCACAAGGAGCGATACAAGGTGTCTGCCTTTATGGATGTCTACTCAGAAGAGGCTGTTAAGGTCAGGAGAGAACTAAATTAAAAGTGGGATCTATTAGAATAAAGTCACTTAGTCATCAGGACACAAATTTTGTGCCAGGCAAACTGCTAGGCTGGGGTACAATATAGAGATAAATAGGACATGACCCAAATCTTTTAGGAGTTCTGAGTTATAAAACTGAATGCCAGTAAAATCTTAAAAATGATTTTATGTAATAGACTTTTCTCAATTTACTCAGTGTTAGTTCACCAGAAAGTTAGTGGATAATTTTTAAATACTTAAAATAAATTTTCTCAAAGAACCTAATAGAAGATGTGAGCCCTAGCCGGTTTGGCTCAGTGGATAGAACATTGGCCTGCAAACTGAAGGGTCCCAGGTTCGATTCCAGTCAAGGTCACATGCCCAGGTTGCGGGCTTGATCCCCAACAGGGGGCATGCAGGAGGCAGCCAATCTCTTCATCGATGTTTCCCTCTCCCTCTCTGAAATCAATAAAAATATATTTAGAGAAAAAAAAGATGAGTTGGAAAATAAATGTCATTCATGGCCTTTTTTGCCTTGTGGTATAGTTATGAACAACAAATAAGAGTTTGTGAGGAAAAGGTAAGTAAATATTTATGAAATAAAAAGTTGCTAACATCCTAAATATACTAGCTAAATTACCTTTTTTTCTATTGGGAATTGTCTCTATCGGTGATGTTACCCATTTAGTGCTTGTTTATATTTTGGCAACATTGTCAGGTATTGTTTTACTGGGTTTTGCCCAAGAGTCCAGTGCCCAAGATACATTTTCTGTTGCTGATAACCTCATATTTGACTCCTGTGGTAGTTGCTTTGAGCATTCATCCAGGGCCTCATAATGATGTTGGTATGGTCACTTAATTTTGTCCAGTCCTGAAGTTTGTCCAGTCAGGATTTAACATAAAGTTAACAAAATCAAATACCATTGTCAATAACTTATTTGAGAAACAAGTCCTCCAGCGTCCTATAGCTTCTGGAAAGGCTATTAAAAAGAAATTGTCTTGCACTAGGTTGAGATTACCCCCTCCAAATTTTGGCAGGAAATTTGGACTGGCACTCAAAAATGAGTATAGGGTATGATCACTCTTTTGTTGCTTTATATTTAAAGATTGTAATTAAGTATAGTGCTGGGGTCCAGCCCCAGCGGTCCAGGGGTTCCCAAAGGTGTGGACGGAGTCGGCGAAGAATGTTTTACACAGAGACAGTGTTCAGAACTCTCTAGCTTTCCTTAGTCTCCGTGGATCTTCCCTGTGCCTGGCTGAGGCCACAGAGAAAGAGATCCCAAGGCAAGCTGAGCCTTTATTTTATAGTGAGAGGTAAACAAGGTAGTGGTTACCAAAGTTACACTGTTCTTGTGAGTTTCACTTGTTTACACTGTTCTTGTGAATTTCAATTGTTTTTGTTCTTGTGAGTTTCACTTGTTTACACCATGGTTATACTTCCTGCACTTCCTCAGCCCATTAGCTTCCCAGATAAGATCTAGGGAGTGTTATAAGGTCAAGCCTAATTATGCTAAGAGGACTGTGCCCTCTAAGCTGGGAATTGTTTGTGACTTTTCCCACAGGTCAGTCCGAGGCTTAACCCTATATAGGCTCCCTACAGTATAGCCCTGCCAGGTGGCTCAGAAGGTTAGAGCTTTGTTTTTTACACCCAAAATGTTGCAGGTGGGATTCCTGGTCAGGACACATACATAGGTTGTAGGTTCTATCCCTGGTTGGGGTACATACAGGAGGCAACCAGTTGATGTTTCTCTCTTGCATGGATGTTTCTCCCTTCTCTCTCTCAAAAAAAAATCAATGAAAACATACCCTCAGGTGAGGATTAAAAAAAAATTAAAAAGAAGTATAGCAACATCCTTAAATCTTTTAAATGAGTAAAATATTTTTTTCAAAAACTTGTCATCTTTTTATTTGACTCATGTTTTCCAGGGAATTGCTGTAAAACCACCAGATGGAGCTCAAGCTAAGCACCAAATCATTTTTGGAATTAGGATGAGTGGGCTCAATCACGTTCTGAATTGAATGTAACATTTTTATTTTTGTTTTTTTAAATTAAATTTAAAATAAGGATAATCAAAATTGCTTTCATTTATTGGTTGCTTCATATATCAGGACTTAGTCTAAATTATTTAATCCTAAACTCTTCAATCACAGTATTAACTTATCCTCCCAGCAATCTATGAGTTGGGTACTCATGGGAAAACTGAGGCACACAGGCCCTATGGCTAAAACTGGGAGAACTGGGATTCAAGTTCAGGCCCCAGAGCCTACAGTCTTACAATGCTATTCTGCCTCTAAAGGATGTACACAGACTTGCTGGGAAAGAAAGGTAGTTTTAGGGTAGAATACCTGTTTTTGGTCCAAACCATGATGCAAGCTTGGGATCAGATAAGGAATAGGTTTTAGCAGAGAAATGGTTTATAGAACCCTTCTCAGATCTCTGGGCCTAGCCCAGACTGGAGTTCCCTTGGTACCACTCGCTTCGCATGGGCTGACCCAGTCCCAAAGGTGAAGCCCAAGGTCAGTGGTGTACAAGCTACTAAACAGAAGAAATGCGAACTACAGTTGCAACTCTTAAGGTAGAGTCAAGTAGTGGTTTTGACCACTTCTTTTTATTTTTAATGTCACATGGATGTGGATACATTTTTTTTCCCACTAGTTCACAAATATATTTATTAGAAAATTTGTATATGTTCAGAATTTGAATCAATATTTAAGATAGGATTTTTAGGAGTTGGGGAAATAACTGGCTGACTTGATTTGAGTATCTGAAATAGACTGTATAATGATGGCAAAGGGCAGTGGTGTGTGGTTTAGACTAGTGAAGTGCTAGCCACACAATAAGGTAAATGGGAGAAATCTAAAGAGACGTAAAAGAATTGCCAAATTTATAAATACTGCTATTGAGATGAAGATGTTGGGGCTGTTGACTAGCTAAGTGACTGACTTCTGAGGCCACTTGGCAGAGTGATTCAAATTCATGTTAGGTACAAAATAGAATTCTTTTCCCCTGTATTTGCCAGCATATACAAATACCATTGCAGCCCTGGCTGGGTGGTTCAGTTGATTGGTGTGTTGTCCCGCACACCAAAAGACTGCAGGTTCAATCCCCGGACAGACTAGTACTAGAGGCAACCAATCAATGTTTTTTTCTCATCCCTCCTTCCTCCTTCCCTTTCTCCCTCCCTTTTCTCTCTCCTTCCTTTCTCTCTAAATAAGATCAATAAAAACATTCTTGGGTGAGAATTAAAAATATATATCAAGCACATACGAATTTTACAAGGAATTGTTGGAGGGGAGTGGGGAACTGTTTAGTACTCATGCCAGGTCAGAGGTCACTCTGCTGTTTGCAGGGTCCTGTCATATAGCAGGAAAGCCTGACCAGATGTGTTCCTGCCTACAAAACCCCTAACTTTTGCAAAGTTGAATGCTAAGGGTCTTCTGCACCTATTTTAGAGCAGGAGAAAAATATAATGAGATGTCAAATAAGACTCATTTGGTAGAATAATGATAATAACCAACATTTAGAGGATGCATACTGTGTTAAACGTTTTACCTGTGTTATATCATTTAATCCTTAAAACAATGCTGTGGGATCAATACTCTTATTCCTATTTTC